GCGATAAGAATGAAACAAATAAAAATTCGAAATAAATAAATTTTAACATTAATATAATTATCAGAATCAATAATATATAAAAACAAATAATGAGCGGAATAAATTAACAAAAGTAATAGATAAATTTATCAGAAAAATCATGTTAGATTGAAAATCTAAATTGTTGATATTTATAATTTAATTTATAGTTTAAATATTTAAAATTTATTTATAATTTAAAATACATTTTAATATTAAGTATAATCGAATTCTCCATCAGATAAAGTGTTTAGCATCAAGAAAATTTGATGACCTACTTTCCTTCCGAATTAGAGACAATGGGATGTCTTATCGACGATCTCGGTCCCAGTCGCCAGTGTGACCGCTATCAGGCAAGGGGACCTTGCAAAAGGTCGGATGAAAGATTTTTTTTTAACATGGATACGTTGACAGCATAAGAAATCTGAATTAATAAAAATAATCCGGCGCTGGATTTATCTGTGGCCTACAATTATAATAATTTAATTTGTTAATTAATTAAGGACATTATTGTAAATGAACAACCATGATAAAATTATCATTAAAAGAAATAACAAAACAAAGGTAAAACTTTTTTTTTCTTAACATGTACATGCGTTCGTATTAATGTTGACCAAAATCGGTCTAGGTCTTGCACTTAACAAGATCAAGACCAGGACTGGTAAAAAAGATCGATTTTTTAAAATAAAAATTAAGGCAAAATAGTTACTAATACTTGACAATCTTAGTTATTATATGTTAATAGTTGGTATAACCAATGTACTGTTGCATTAAACTCCTCTAATTTTTCATTTGAGCTTAGTTAGGTTTATCCTATCTAATTACAGTAATATCTCTATAGCAATAAAGTAATAAGTAACTGCAAGACTGTTGCGAGACTCTTGCGCAAGACCAAGACTATGACCAAGACTGAGTTTGCATGACCAAGACTCGTCTCGGTCTCGCATTTGTGCAACACTAGTTCGCATTATAGCATTGATGACTGATGGGGATAGGATAAGCAGTGAACTTCACATTAATAAAATAAAAAAATATTAAGTTTTAGGTGTTTCATTAATTTAAAATATAAAATCAATTTGATGGTTAAATGTCGTGGCCGTCGCAGGGACTACCTGAATCTGATTACAATATAATTATTATATTATTATCATATGTTTATGTTAAACAATGTTATTATGCAGATATATTATCAGTGGGATCCTCATTTCATTTTTAATATTCATCAGATTTTGGATATAATATCCGGTTTCAAAAAGACCATAATATTATAATAGCACATGTCATTAATTAAAAATCTTTATAAGAAGAAAAAATAAATTATATCAATATTTTACTTAATTTTATAATATCTTGATCTATATTTTAATATTTTAATCATTTTGAATTATTGCTTTTTACTGTCTCATTGTCAGTAATCAGAATACAATCCTATATATTATTTCTAAAAGGTGTTTTTTTTATCGGTACGCCATAACTTCGTCAATTCGTCGTCAAATCCAATGATTGAACCACCAATTTTGAAGGTATTCTTCTCCTTCACATGCGAAAAATAGTCATATATCTCTCTGAAATTTCTGGATAAAAAGTTATGAATGAAAAGAAAAACTTTATTTACGAATAGGTCTTAAAGTATGCAAATTTTTTTTTACCCATGCTAATTAGAAAGATTACTAAATTAACTACAAAACAACCCAAAAAATCAGACAATTATTAACAAAGATACAGTCCATTAGTTTTGGTATACTTAATAATGTCTTTTTCTTTAAAGATATTGCATTTAGGAGTAGAATTGTCTTCTACACTTTTTTTCCTGGCTGATAGATTAACTTTATTTCTTAAAGGAATTTGTTTGTTTTTACATTTTGTTTTTTTAATAATTTATAAAACCACATGATCGGGGCATTATTTTGTCTTTATTACTTTTATTATCTTTCCAGCCAGCGTTTAAAAAGAGGGCATATCAAAGCAATTTGAACAAATATTTTGCTCTATTATATTTAATGGAATATTATAATCGACCGAGGAAAACATTTTAATTTCTTCCTTACATAATACATAGGATCTATTTATTTTCGTATTGTTTTGCTATTTCTTCATTAAAAAAAAAATTGTAATTTATTCCATTATTGTAATTGTAATTATTAATTTTCCAATCCCAAATATTACTCCTATGACATTCATTCACTTTATTAAAAAGCTCCACTACCATTTTCTCTAAAAGACATATTTCCGGGATTTGTTAGATTTTCTCTTAGACTTTTCATCGGTCTATTGTTAAGTGAAATTAAAGCTCACTGGTCTGAGACATCTCATTCGCATCGGTGTTCTTCATTGACCAGCTCAATGACTTACATAACCTCATCTATTTTTCTTTCTTTTTTTTTTTTCTGTCTATACATTTTTAAAGAACTTTACTATAGAAAATCTAATAAAATAAAAATCCACAGTTCATCACTTTGCAATAACCTTTGTTTGAAAGTTTAATTGTATTGTGTTATGGGCAAATTATTTTTGTGCTGTAATGAATTATTTTTATGATTATCTGAAAAGATTTTTTTCAAGCTATATTTTATGTTTATTAATATTTATTTTGATTAGAGATGAATTATGGTCAACATTCATAATGATTTATGTTTATCTTTGATAATAAATACCCAGGACTTTCAGGAGGTTTGGAGAAGTAATTTAACATTTAAAAATACATTAAATACTTCAATATTCTTGGTATATGTTTATAGAAGCTAATATTTTTGAAGAGAACGGGGTAGCTCAGTGGGTGAGCACTGACTTCCATAGCCCTGGAGCCAGAGCCCAAAAATCGACCTGATCACAGGCGAAGGTTTGATTGTAAATTACGAAAGTGTATGTTATTCTGAGTAAAAAAAACCTTGTCTGCCGTTCCGGAGCCGCTGCTTTCAAAAATAGCGGCTGATTTAAAGAATATTACTCCAATAATTTGAGGATCGAAACGGGAAATCCATTGCGAAAAATGTGAGAAAAGTTTCTATTTTTTTTAACTTGTATATATGGGTTTAGACATGTAAAAAACAAAATTGCTAACGCCAAGGGAAAACTTTTTACAGCCAAAAATGTCAGATTTTTTCGATATTTTTTGGGTTTTTCATCTATAACTCCTAAAAAATGCATCAAAGCGAAAAATGTGTTCTTCAATAAATTAAAGAACGTTAAATTTTGCGACAAACGAGTACATAAACTTTAAAAATTGGTTTCGTAGTAAGGTATAAAACCATGGTCAACCAACGTTGAGTTTTACCAAATTTGTCAAAAAATGAGACAAATTACTATAAATGGCCCTGTAACTTGAAAATGAGTTCCCTAAGAGGAAAAACCCATAGAATCAAAGTTGTAGAGCATCAAATTTTGCGTATACTGGGTACTAATATTTTCATTGTTGGCCAATTATAGACCTCGAATCGGAATTCGTTATTCCTTTATAAAATTCGGTATCTTTCGGCACACCGTTTACCAAAATCTTTTGCTGTTGAGAGGTGGAAAATAGGCTTATACTGCATGTAACAGACTTTAAACAAAACTAACTCAGTAGAATAGACACCCATACTGTTGAAATATTGAAAATCACGTTTACCTTCATTACCAATTTCTAGCCATCGGGAGATTACCGATTTTTTTCGCAGCAAGTAACCTACATTAAAATAGTTGATCCTGAGTATACGCCATATATAGGGCCATTTATAGTCATTTGTCTCAGTTTTTGACAAATTTGGTAAAACTCAACGTTGGTTGACCGTGGTTTTATACCTTACTACGAAACCAATTTTTAAAGTTATATACTCGTTTGACGCAAAATTTAACGTTCTTTAATTTATTGAGGAACACATTTTTCGCTTTGATGCATTTTTTAGGAGTTATAGATGAAAAACCCAAAAAATATCGAAAAAAATCTGACTTTTTTGGCTGTAAAAAGTTTTCCCTTGGTGGCCTGCGTTAGCAATTTTGTTTTTTACATGTCTAAGCCTATATATACAAGTTAAAAGAATAGAAACTTTTCTCACATTTTTCGCAATGGATTTCCGGTTTCGATCCTCAAATTATTGGAGTAATATTCTTTAAATCAGCCGCCATTTTTGAAAGCAGCGGCTCCGGAACGGCAGACAGGTTTTTTTTTTACTCAGAATAACATACACTTTCGTAATTTACAATCAAACCTTCGCCTGCGATCAGGTCGATTTTTGGGCCCTGTCTCCAGGGCTACCAAAGCTCAAGGTTCTAGGTTAGAATCCGGCTAATGACAAGTAATTTTTCATTAGCCGTGGATGGACCCTGGGCTCAGGAGAATCTCCTGGGGCACACCTAGCCACTATAAAGCGGGAACCCTTAATTAAAAAAAAAATAATAATAATAAATAATTAAGGGGCAAAAACCAGGTGGTTGAATGTAATGTGATATTGGCTTTTCACCTCCCCTACCCAACCGTTGGCCTTGTAACAGTACTTCCTTACATTGTACTAAACCCAAGACCCTTCAAGGGTTGGATTGGTACAGGTTAAATATCTTTGAAACCCAGTAAGTACTAAGCCATTTTTAAATGATGTCTTAATTTTTTTTTTCTGAATCAATTTTCCTGACAAGAAAGTCAGGTTTTTCGTAACTAAACTCATTGTAGTATGGACCAATTATACAAAAACTATTCCATTAGAAATCTGATTTTATTTTCCGATTTTTTGATATACCATATGAGAATTGAAAGAAAATTCTTTATTTTGTGTCTTTTTGAGAGAGACTATACAGAGCGTCATTAATTATCTTAACAACACTATTATTTAAATTGTGTGCTATCATTCTGATATTGATTTATTGCATTGCTAAAGGAAAAAAAAAACATGTTTTGGACTTTTAGTGAATTATATTTATAGAGATTTTCTTTTTCACAACCCTACAGATACCTACAGTTTTTATTTTCAAAGGAAATTTTTTATATAAACATTTTTTTTTGTCTACAGAAGGTACTGACAACTGTGACCTCGCATACAATTTTGGCAAGTGTGTATACGAAACTGATAAAGACGTAAGCAAATAATTTATCCAATAATATACTATTAAAATAATTTCATGAAGATTAATTAATAAAATTTATATGAATTTAATGTTTCAGGCATTTGTAGTTCCTTAGTGTTTCAAAAACCATCCAAATAAATTGCGTACGATTCACGAAGCTTGGAGCTCAACAACAAACATTGGCAACAAAAAAACAACATATTTTCAGACCGTTTCACTTCACTTCATTGTAAAAAATATTTAATGTACCGTTGCTTCATTCTTATTCTATTGATTAATTTAATAAATATATTAAATTGTTTTTTCTTTGCATCACCTATTTATACTTAATATATGCGCAAAGTAGAAAAATTAATAGATCACTGCTTCCTATCTCAAAGTGTTCCAACGTACGGAATCACAAAACTTTGAACCTATTCTTCAACACTTCTAACATCTTAGAGCGCGTTTGCACCTAATTCAGAATTTAAAATAGTTCCTTGTTGAAGTGTGGTAGGGGAGACTGCATTCTTCAGAGTTTTATTCTTCTTGATGAGGCTAGAAGGAAGATTTGGCCTGAGACGAAATGGTTTGAAACTATTACGGAACACTGGAGGACCTTAGGAGAACCACTGAGTTCCTGATTTTATCTCCACATGTGGCCATTTAATTGGAAGAATGAAGAAGAAGAAAAATGTTTTGCTAATGTCATTTTTATCTATGATTTCCTGTATCCAATTTTATTGCTCTTGTTTAATAGGTTAAAAATATATAGTATATATATATATATATATATATATATATATATGTATATATATATATATATATATATATATATATATATATATATATATATATATATATATATATAAAAGAAAGGTACTGAATAAAAGAATGTTGGTAACGACCCTATCGATGTGGCTAATGAGAAATCAACGAAAGCATCATTTGATCTCTCTTTTGTTAATACAGCAACCATTAGAAACTTCTAAAAGCACGTTTTGTACTTTCGTCCTGAATTCTCTCCATAGATCTAGTGCAAGGTAGTATAATAATAAAAAAAAAATTGTGATTGATTTGTGTTAAACATAAACAAAAAAAAAAAAAACGTTGAAGAATTGAAGGTGGGAAAAATAATCTGAAATGTTGTCCAACAAATTTAGAAGCAATAAAACCCACATGAAAAACATATGTAGTGTGCTAATGACCCTCTAAAGGATAGATGCATTTGCAAAATAAAAAATAAATAGATGAAAGAATTTGGTTGGTTGGATATTATGAAGTAAAGGCATAAAACTTTATGGCTATCTAGGTCGTTAGTTGTGTTTTTATATATTTATATGTAATTATATTTGTTGGTAGTTCATAATTAAAATAAAACTAAACCCATATAAAAATTAGATTAATACATAAAAGAAAAGAGAAAAAATTAAAGAAGTTGAAAAGTGTTTTATTATTTTCGAATTCAGAAAATAAACATCTCGCAGCTGAGCATGAGAGAGCCAAATAGTACTGAGGTTTAAACATTTTCTGCAATGCTTCTTTAAAAATCTGGTGCAGTGCGCACATCAATCACACAACTTTCACGTACCACCCTTTTCTTAGCAGAAATGAGTATTGACAAAGGGGAAATGAAAGTAAAAATTATAAACTGTATATTTATCTATACTTCATTGCGGGTATTTTTATTTGTTTAAGTAGCCTTATTTTTACAAATTTTAATATTTATATCGCTGCAATCTATACAATTAAATATTAAATAATACCAACGAAAACCTCATATATATAGGTGCATAATATTGACGGAGTAGGTATTATATTAAACACATGTTATATTCCGTGGGCCAGACGTCCTTACCGTGCACCCCCTCCTCCCCCTCATTCCAATAAATCACATATCGTTGTGTTCCTTGTAACTAGTTAAAAAAAAAAATCAATGTTCCCACAAAAAAAAGTGAACGAACTGCCCCAAAATGGCGTCCAAACATGGCCGATTGACGACTTTGACTTTAGTTAGTTTTTTGGTCACTGTTAATCAACATATGGCTTAATTTAGTCATAGTTGGTCGTTGTATTAAAGCTGGATAGTCAAAGAATAATAAACCATGAAAAAATATCAAAAAATAAATGGGTCTGGACATAAAAAATACCAGTAAAGTCAACTTTTTTAACAAACAAATTTTCAAATTGAAAATCAAGCATCGTTTGTATTTAAACGGACAAAAAATAACGCAAAACGTGCAAAAATAAAATATATTTTTCTTTCTAAAACACTGATTACTTTTTACAATATTTGAAGCAGTTGCGTAGAAAATGGACTTACGCGGCAGAAAAGCAGTACTGGAGTGGGTGCCTACAGGCCTCCACCACACCATTCAGTGCTCATAAATGGCTTAGTTATAGTGATATAATAACGGTTACATTAAATTGATTGTGTACGAAAAAATATTAATGCAATAATTTCATTGTACAAAAAAATTTAAATTTTTAAAAATTTAATTTAAAAATATTTTTTTTTTTAATTTATTTTTTTATTTTTCAAATTTAATTTCCATTATTCTGTACGGAGGTCATTTAAGAAGGCCTCTATTGTAATAACGATATAATTATAACCATAAAATTTAATTCAAAAATACTTTGCTGAATATCTTGAATTTTTGTATTTAACGTTTGCAATTTAACAGTTTGTTTTGTATATTTGATGATTCTTAGAGGTTATTTAAATTGTATATACTCCCCCGGAAATGAGTCATATTAATACCTGTTTTATAAACTAAAATAACACATACCTAATCTGAACTACATATTAAGAATAGTTGATGGGTTGTTTAGTAAAACTCATATATCTAATATATAAACACTAATAAACAAATTAATTTTTCTTTCCTTTATTTTGTTCGAAAGGTGGACCATATCATAAAAAATTAGAAAATTTTAATATTTTGCATTATTCTCTCTGCACAAAGAAAGATGGAAAGGTCGAAGCTATAAGTTCTTCTAGGTAACCGGAGCTGATAAACGCGAAATTGAACCCAAAAATTAAGGAACGAAAAAAAATACATTAAGGGAACGAGAAAGGAAGTTCCGAAATCTTGGAAAAGAAAACAAGGATCAGTATCCATTATATAGCTAAACGAATATATAGTAGACAGATGAACAGAATATTTCAAAATGCTGCTAAAAGGGTGTCAAATGCTGGAACAGTTTTCATGATATTAAGGGGACGATGCAGGTTTATTATGGTGAAGACCATTTTATCAGCAACAAAGATTTGTTCAAAACAATTGGCAAGTCAGTTGGTCTGGTCGAGCTAAACCGAACAGTTTCCCACTGTTTTGCGCTTACATAGACAATAAATGTATTTGAAAATAATATGAAAGGACTGTAGTTTTGTCCCTCTACAAGATAGGAGATATTAGAAAATGTAATACCCATCGAGATTCATTCCTTAGGTACACTAAAAAACTTTACTCAAGAATCGTAGAAGCTAGAATAAGATAGAATGTCGATTGCCAGAGAGATGTGGATTGAGAAATTCAAGTTTCACATGGGACAGATGAAATGATTAATCGTTTAATTAAATTAAATGGAAAATTAGCCATTTAAGTCCTGTTAGAGAACATCAATGAGAATAAAACCTACATAATATTAAAAACTGCTTAATTTTAAACTAATCGCTGGAGCCGTTTTCGAGAAAATAGTAAAAATGTGTTTCACCGATGATATATAGTACCACTTCAGGTCAGCCGATTTTGACAAAAAAGTTGTTGTAACATCTCATGAATATAACAGCCTTAAATATGCAATTTAACTTTAATACGACTTTCCATTTTTTGAGCAAGACCTGCCACATACATACAGACACGCACACACGCACAGAGACCATTTTACGGGACTTGGTTATTTGGACTCAGAAGACCTCAAAATATAGATCCGTTGAAAACTCAGATTCGAAAATTTTCAGGATCGCAATACTGTCCCTTACTATATATTTCATATAGTTAAGTGAAAGCAAAAATGGATATGAAGATTATCATTTTACTTATCACGTTAAAAACTATATTTACTCTTTTTTTTTTTCTCTCACTTCCGATTTTCTGCATCGCCGTGTTGACAATGACCATGACTATCGTCTTTTCACAGTTTAATGTTAAACATTTCTTTATCTATTTCTTTTTGCTCTAATAATCGTTGAGTGGCTCCTTTCTTTAACACTTTAACATAAGTTTAACCTAAAGTGGGATGCATAGAAACAAACCTCCTTTTATAAGTACTGGTTGAACTAATTTTTTTTAATAATGAATCGAGGAAATGAAAAAATATGTTTTAGATTTGGGAGTAGAAGAACCAAAAAAAAAAAAAAAAAAAAAATCAGGAAATGTAGTCACAAAGCAATAAGTAAAGAAAATAATGTATCGATCCTGAATATTCGATAGTTGATTTTTAGAATACATTAAAATTTTATTTAGGAGATACTGGCTATAAACATATGTCAGATGGAATGAACGACTTTTTAACATCAATTACATGATTTATCAAAGAATATCTAGTTTTCAGAAAATTTTGGTCAAATAAAGAAGCTTTGCCTGTGGATGCAATTTCACCAAACAAAATATCAATATAGTTTAATGAGAAATGAATTAATATAAAACAATACTTCTACATTAAGACAGCCAGAATACCTACCAAACGTCCGGATATTGATGAAGTCGAAATGAGGATGCGATAGACGACGCTTTAACAGGTTTATTATCATGGGTGATAAATATTCAGGGCGTGGTTTGAGCACTGAGGGTGTTCAAATACTTCAGTACCTGAATATTTATCACCCATGATATGTAGAACAGTCGACTAACTTCCTTCAAGGTTTATTATCATTTTATATTATATTTATTTTCGTATATATTATATACATATGTATATTATTATTTATGCCTGCAAAGGAAATATACATAAGTTACAAAAAAAAAAAAAAAGGATGTCGAGTTTTACAACTATTTAAAAAACTTATAAAAAATGTTATTTATATTTTTAATGCATCTTTTATAGAATAGTATGAATAGTTTCGTAGAATAGCTTTAAAATATTAGTATAAATACAAGAAATAATATTAAACAATTTTTTTTTAATTAAATGAAAATTTAAGATTTTTTTAAAAAAATATTTTAGTTAAGCCCTTAAATTATCATGAAGGATTTGCCGCACGAACATGTTTCAGATATCCATCGATTCAGCACAAACAGAGCTGTAAAATCAATCTTCAAGTCTTCCTATTTCATATCGTTTGTCTTTTACGGAATTTTGTCCCCCAAAAGATGCTATCAGTCCACTGTGCGGTGGTCTGGAGCATCTCAGAAATACCACTAAAAGTTTATATTCTTAATTCAGGATCTGACCATTTGAGCAAAGTTTGAAGAAGAAGAAGAAGAAGGTATTCTGATAGCAAAAAATTAAATAATGGTTCCAACTGAACAATATTAATGCTTTTCTTCACAAAGCCCAAATTTCTTATTTATGTTGGATACACTTCTATTTACAGAACTTTTGGTTTATTTTCACTTTTCAGCCTGTTGCTGTTTTTATGAGATTTGTGTCTTCTTGATTTTTGAACTTTGAATTTAATTTTTAACTTACTATTTCCTTCGGGAATTATGTATTGTTTTGTTTGTTAAATAAACTTTTGAACCTAGTTTTTCGCATTATATTTTATTTTCATTATTTTTTTATGACACACATTTAATACTAATGTTATAAGATGTGGTAATGATGGTAGGCCCAGTTATCTGGGAAGTGGATGTGGTCACAGTGGCATTAAAGCTGGGAACCATTTATTTAAATCAACGGGAAAACCAAGTGAATTAAATCATTATATATGATATGAGTAAGTAGTGAGCAAAAAAATTATGTAATCATCCAATAGACAAAAAAAAAAGGAATCCGGGTAAATCATAAATTTAGATCGTACCTCCTGAAGTAATATGCATAAACCGCTGTACACTGTTTAAATGACAAAAAAACGGACATAGACAAATCAAATGTTCCAAGGCAGGAAGATGAAAGAAAGAAAGAACACTTGTAAAAATATGCAGATGTCTAAAAAAGTTTAAATGTAAAAGTTTAAAATTTAAATGTTTAACCAAGATCAAATTTGGTACCTATCTATCAGGTAAGTATAAAAAAAATCGCCAAATCGAGGCTCTCCGTTGTCTGTTGCCTATGGTATTTGTCTCTTGCCACTTTACCATCTTCAGAATTCATCAGGACACATGCGGATTTACGGGGGGGGGCTTTCGGCCTGAAGTCTTCCCCAATACGGTAAAATATAACCATGTTTTATAAAAAAAAAAAAATATTAAAAACTATCTCTTAAAGTATTATTGTTCGTGTAATTACATTTAATAGGACTTCAAGAATCACTTAAACACCATTTCATATAGGTAGTTCATTTCTTTCTTCTTTTTTTTCAAATTAATTATCGTTATATATATGAAAAAAAATCTTTCGGGCTGAAGCCCCCTCCCCACAATTAAATCCTGGATCCGCTTGTTCATCAGGAGGAAACAGTTTAAATTCCTCAATTCGTTAAAACCGCTGTCGGACAAGGTGCGGTGAATACTTGACTCCTTTGGACACAAGACTTTACCCCGGATTGTGCTTAGCAAGGGTTTAATAATTTAGAATTCGTAATCATTTTTCTCCTCGGTTTGATTTTGAGAAAGGGGCAAAGTGATTATATAATATAAATAGTTAATTCCTTATCGAAATGAACGACTTATCATTATTCATTATTTATTTCATAATCATCACGATTTATTCTTAACACAGTTGAGCAGCATTACAATTTTATTTTAGTTCTCTCTAATGCTCAAAGATTTTATAAAGCAAAGTATCTTTAAGAGAGAGGAGTATACCCAAGTTGTACAATGGTTTGAATACTTGACTATTTAAAGCTGCTCGAAGGGAATGATAACTTCCGAGCAAAGCTCGTTTCACGTGGGATTAACATCAATCTCCTACGACCCAATCACAGAGTACCGGAGACAGTCTTAAACGTTATCGTATACTGCACCGCCTGTATACTCCACCCTCAGTGCCAAAGTGGTGAGAATGAAAACAGCGGCTATGGATATCTATATTGCTTCCTCACTACCGAAGGTAGGGAAGCATTGTGTTTTAATGAAGATCGGGTTTCAATTGTTCATTTATAAGGAAAATTATCCAAACTTTAAGGATTTTATAAATGGTTGGGAGTAAATTGTAAACCCACTTCATTTCTACTTGTGGGGAAGGGAGAGGGACAGAAATAATTATGCCATAGAAACCGCCGGACATAGGAACAGAAGAAAACGATGGCTTAATTGATAGATGAAAAGTGCAATTATGTTCACAGTTAGTATTGGCTCAACAACCTAAAACATTGGTGTGTCCTATCACCATTAAACATTCATTTTTGAATATTATTTCCTACTCTAGAAATAATCCCCAGGTCCTTTATAATGAAGAGTTTCAATAAACTCCAAGAGAGCACGTTAATAAGTTAGCTGTAAACAAGATAACATCAACAACGTTTTCTTACCCAGGAGGAATTAAAGAAAGTGTTATTAAAAAAAAAAAACGGATCACCTAAGTTTCTCAATATTATGTTGTAACATTGACTCAATATGTAAATGCGTGCAATTCGTAACTTTTAGAATGTGTACAATTCTATTTTAATTGTAAAACACAACGGATATTCTATGGTTATTACTTCAATGGGGTGTTGATGTGGATATTTCTAAATAATCTGATTCTATTTAATCTGTTTATTAAGTGAATGCGTAATGGTTACTACTTATTTATTAATTCTTTATTATTAATTTAAATCTCAAGTAGAGCTTATACTTCAATAAGTAAGAGGGGTGCGATACACTTGTTGCATTAATAAGGTCTAGTCGATGGAATCCCCTTGAGAGTTGTATGGTAGTCCTGTTGATAATTGGGGTATGGGTCCTGTTGAGGTATTCCCAAATATTGGCTTGTGTATTTGGTTTTGTTATTCTAGACCCTACTACTACATTTAAGTAGCTACTCAATTTTTCTTTCAAGGCTGAAGCATTTGGTAGGAAACGTAAAACACTGCGTATATTTTCGCATCAGTTACATCAACTTGAACAAACAGTTCTTTTTTTAGGATTAACATAAGTAACCAGTTACGACGTGAGTTATTGTGCAAGAGATGGAACCAGTGACTGGATGTACTCGTACGATAGTTGCGGAGGCAGGCGGTGGGGCTGGCGAAAGATCTCATTGTCTTACCAGGAGCCATGGTGTCCGCAACTTCTGTTATCTTCTTCTTCTTCGGCCTCTCCGTCGTACTGTCGGTGAGTTGTGTCTTACCTGTAATTAGGCTAACGATCAATGTGGGAACTACAATTATGTCTTTATAGTAAAATATTAATTTTAATAAACTTTATGAAATAAGTTTAAAAGGTTCATTTTATATTTATAAAAATTATTTACTAGTTCGTATTTTTTTATGTGAGGTGGTTTAAAAAGAATATAGACGAAATAAAATATGAAAATTAATCTACACAAACTGACGTCGTAATAATATGTATCAGACAGTAGTACAGACCCCTTTTTATTAAATTATCAAAGTTACGTTAAGATGAAGCCATTGACGTTGTTTCAGGTGAATGTTAATAATTAACATAAATAATAAGAATGTAAATAATAAATATCTGGTGTGTCCAATCACATGACTTTCCTACCTACGACTCACGGGGCTCTGAAACGTATAGATCCGTCGAAAAGCGCATATTGGAAATTTGACCCGATTGCAATACTTTCCTTTCCTAGTATAGGTAGGAAAGTAATAAGTTAAAAAATAGAATAAGCTGTTTCATCGCTAATACTGGTTCGATTCCGATGATTTTTTTTTTTGTTTTGTTGGTAATTTAATTACCTTTCAAAAGTTTTATTATAAGTTTTACCGTATAGTATAAACTTGGAGAGTTAGGCCCCATAACATTTTTCTTTTCTTTATAACTTTTTTTCCTGATTTTTTCGGAAATTTAATCTATATACGAAAATTGAAAGGACAATGACTAGAAAATTATAGAAAGGTTTCATCAAAATCGTTACAGCCGTTTTCGCGCTACAGTCTATAGAAAAAAATGTTTTTCATTTATTGCACGCAAGCTATTGTGCATGAAGCATCGAATTTCTGTCACAGGCATCAGTAATCAAAACCCTACAAAATAAAAAAAGTTGTTCACGAGAAAATCTTGGTACAGACAGACAGACAGACCAATGGCTAAAAATGTTTTTTTCGGACTCAGGGGGCTCTGAAACGTATAGATCCGTCGAAAACCGCATATCGAAAATTTGACCCGATTGCAATACTTTCCTCACCTAGTATAGATAGGAAAGTAAAAAAGAGTCTTTACCACAGACTATATAACACATTTAACTCTTAGATTGAACTAACAACAGTTTTAAATCTACAGTAAGGGTCAACAGAAAAAAATCTAGTGCATTTATTACACGCCTTTCTCTTACCACTCTACTTTGAGTTGGTTGAATTAATTTTTGCTCAATTCGACAAGTTAATATTGTCGGTTTATTGCAACAAGTCGTTAAAGTGTAATTTTAGTAAAGTTAAACTTTGAAGAACGCATTTTAAACTTTCACCCATATTTACAAATGCAAAATGTACGTGCTTCCAAATAAGACAGACCCTAATATATGTCAACATTGTCACACTGAATTCACAATGATGTGATGTCAATGGAGGGAGGGATTCGTCAAATTATTGACTCATTTAATTTTTAAAAATTTGATATGATGAATTTTTTAAAATAAATCGACGATTTATAATTATGTTTAAATATTATTTGGTCTTAACCTATACAATTTTTGTAAAGTCGTTTAATGTTATAACAATATCTTTTTCCCATCTGTAACCACTCTTTGAAAAAGTTTAAGCGACATGAACATCTTCACATCTTCTTTACCTGACAAAAGTACAATAATATAATTTCAAACCATTCATCGCATTATATATACACAGTATCCCGTAAGTAGAGAGAAATTTTTATAATAGTGATCGTAGACCTTATAAGCTACAGAAAAGTTCATGTAAATAATGGGCCAATGTTCAGCAGAAAAGTAGGAAGTCCAAGTTTTGTGATTTTCTAAGCAAGTCGTGTTTTCTGTTGAATTGGAAGCGATAACTAAAGAAATATTTAATTTAAGTAATTAATAATTGCTTCGCTGTAAACTAGACAAAATTTACTTCAAATTAAAAAGGAAATAGTCATAGTTAAAACTATTTGAAGAACACTTTTGAGCGGCTAAACTAAGACAAATTCTTAATGATGTAGAGATGGTTGACCGTTGATATGATATGAGAAGGAATTAGTCGAGGGTGCGGTCAAAAAAAAAATAAAAAAAATTAAAATATATAAATAATTTTAATTTTTGCCGACGTTTCGACCCACTTTGCAGGTCGTCTTCAGGGCTACAAAAGATACAAACATGTTGAAAATATAAAAATAAAATAAAAAATAAATATAAGTATATATAAATTACGAAGAAGTTGTCAGATACAGAAATAAAAGATAAAGAAAATAAATACATGATAAGAAAATAGATAAAAGAAAATAAATACATGAATGTTAACGAATAAATGAATGTTAACGAATAAATTGATTGAAAATTGAATAACTTGTTATCTTATCCAAATTTTAACTTTACTGTAACAATAGTTATTCAATTTTCAATCAATTTATTCGTTAACATTCATTTATTCGTTAACATTCATGTATTTATTTTCTTTTATCTATTTTCTTATCATGTATTTATTTTCTTTATCTTTTATTTCTGTATCTGACAACTTCTTCGTAATTTATATATACTTATATTTATTTTTTATTTTATTTTTATATTTTCAACATGTTTGTATCTTTTGTAGCCCTGAAGACGACCTGCAAAGTGGGTCGAAACGTCGGCAAAAATTAAAATTATTTATATATTTTAATTTTTTTAATTTTTTTTTTTGACCGCACCCTCGACTAATTCCTTCTCATAAGACAAATTCTCTTTTTAAAAAAATCATAAATTATTAGCGATTTTTTTATTCATCCTCCGAGTATACTAAAGATACCTCACTTTTTTAAAAAAAATCTTCGTTTAACAAGCATTAAATTCAAATTAATAAAGTTGAGGTTTATTAAACATATCTGTGGATTTTTTAAATATGTTTCATGTAAAATGGTTAAGAAACTGTGTTATTCTCTCAGATCTCTGTCAAAGGAATTGATCCGTATTTATAAGCGACAAACTTAATATTTCTAATAGTAAAGTTTAACTTTAAAATAGAGAAACCTGCTCTTTGCTTCAATTATATTCATGAAAACGTAAATAATAGGATCGGGAGCATTAAGTTTGTCACTTATAAATGTGGATCAATTCCTATGGCTGAGATCTGGGATGAAAGCACATTTTCATAACAGTTTAATATGAAAAATATTTTAAAACTCATAATTGTTTATTTATTTATAAATAAAAATTGTATTTATGCAACTGTTTATTAAAACATGTAGCAGATCATGAAAAATAAAAGTTTTGTAACAGTTTATTGTAGTCATTTTTTCTGAAAACACGGGTACATTTAGGTGGCAGGATATAAAATCAGATCATTTCTTTACAGAACTTAAGATGAATCTCAAGTTTTTGCCAAATAAACCTCAAATTAATTAATATGAATTTAAAGCTTACTAAACGAGGAAACTTTTGAAAAAGTGAGGTATCTTTAGTATACTTGGAGGAGTAAACTCTATTTCGATTTGAAGTAAATTTTGTATAGTTTACAGCGAAGCAATTGTTAATTACTTAAATTAAATATATCTTTAGTTATTGCTTCCTATTCAACTAAAAACACGACTTGCTTAAATAAACAAAAAACCTGGATTTCCTACTTTTCTGGATTTTCTAATTTTAACATTGGTTCATTATTTATATGTACTTTTTGTAGCTCATCAGGTCTACTATTATTCCTATAAATATTTCGATCTACTTACGGGAAACCCTTTATATATATATATATATATATAGAATAGATAATTTTTAATCTGGAACAAAGTCGCTTTAGAATAACACAAAAGTACAAAATCATCTTGCTTAAATAAATACAAAAACAAAAAAGAAAAAGTAAAGAAACCATTAATAATATTATAGCAAGACACATAAAACTATGTACAGTGGTAAAATATAAATATACACTTTTAGGGGGGAAAAATTAATAAAATGAAAAAAAAAAATCTTCTTTAAAATAAACTCTGCGTTTCTGTTGGAAAAAAAGAAAAGAAAGAAGAAGCTGAATCTGATAGTGAAAATTGTCTGAGTATTTGAATGATAATATGCAAATACATGATTATGTAAATCATTATGAATAATATGTAATTACATAAAAGGTTAGCGGGTATCTGATAAGTTTTAGGGAGAGGAATTGGAATTGGAGGGTTTTAAAGATAAATATGGAGGAGACATTTCAAGGGAATTCCAGAAATTAATTAAGCGAGCAATAAAAGAGTTTTCGAATGAAGTAGATCTGGGAGAAGGGATGTAAAGTTCAGAAAGTCGAGATCGTGTGGAAAGGGAATGGACTGAGGACTTGAATTGAAGGTTGTAGGAGTAAGAAAGACGATGATTGTTGATGACATGATAGGAAAAGCTACCTAGAAAATATTGTCTTCGGAGGGAAGGAAAGAGCCACCTTAACTCAGTGTAGTGGTGGGAGAAATGGGAGTATCTCGGTGCACCGATTACAAATCTTACGAAGCAGTTCATTAGTCTTTTCAGTCTATCATGGTCATTTTAGTCTATATATATATGTTTACAAGCTTAAAATAAATTTTAAAAGTTTATTTATAGAAACTATTTAATTTCTAAGGACACTCCATTTAATTTTTACTAGTAGGCCCTTGCGAAAAATTCGCACAGCATATTGTTATCAAATGCCAGATTAATAAGAAAATAAAAAAATGCAACCTATCAAAAGATAAAGAAATCAAATGTTACTTTATCGATAAATATAAACGACAAAGAAAACAAAAATTAATTTAATTCTTCATTTTCGTTTGGAACCAACAAATTTCAGTAAGCTGTATCTTTGCTAAAAATTGTCCGATTTCAATGATTTTTTTTTCCCTTTTGTAGGGAATTAAGTAATCTTTTATATAACCAATGGAAAAGTGTGTAATTTTTTAGTTATTCGCAAATGAAGTTTGTTTTCTTTCATAACAAAATTCACCCTGAATTTTCGGGGTGATTGGACTATGTTGTGTGCCTGAAGGAGAAGGAAGCCTTCGAAATTGGT